TTTGTTTTTATCTTCCTTTAAATACAATTAGACATATGTTCAAATACAACTAATAAAATGCATAAAGTTAAGTAAAATAATTATCTATTACTTCCAAGATACACAAGTGGAGGTTCTATCAGAATTATTATATTAAAATAACAATTCTTTTTATTTTATAAAGTATCGCTAAGATGTCTCAAATATTTTAAAATCTCATAAAATCTCGATAAAAGGCTATATTAAAGATTCACAGTTTGATATGGAGCGATTTAAATACTCTCTCGAAATTACTTCGGATCATGAAGAGCTTCAAATATTAAAAAATAAAAATGTTTAGTGATAAAAACACGTGTTCCTCGTGCGAAGACATGCGAACTTGTCGCTGAACAATATTCAACATTTAACAATAGCCAACATTTATAGAATAAGATACCAATTTTAGTATTTATCGTTAAGTTCATTCTCTCTCGCGATCGCGCCAATCTTGTTTTTATCGTTGCCTTTCTCAAGTTTCTCCTTATTCCCGTTCGTTTTTATCTGCCATACCAAATTGCGCGAACCGGTCCACGAACAATCGAACACAAAAACGCGGACCGACGCGATATATATAAATTAACATAGTATATCACGCAGCAATATAAATTTCTTTCCACACAAGTAATAATAGCATATGTATGTATATTTCTCTCTTCTTCCCCCATGCAGTGTTTCTCAAATTTATTTCTTCCCTCTGCCGATCAGCGAGAATTCTCGGTCAGGAACGGATATTTATATGGACAGCGATAATATTTATGCTCGGATCCTACTAATCAAACAATCCCCATAATTTAATTTCTAAATCTTCATTCCTGAATATTCGTTTTTTAAATACATAACATCACAAAAATACTGCTACTCTCAGCATTCTATTTTACACGTTTGTGCAAAACTAACTCTTCAATTAAGACGCTGTTTTAAGAGATTTAATTCAAATTAAAAACTTCAAATATATATCTCTCATTTCTTATTAAAACATTATCTGATAATTTACTAAAATTTATTAAAATTACATTAAATAATTTATTAAAATTAATTAAATTACATTAATTTATTAAAACTTAGGTTTTCGAAGATCACTAATATATATCTATACATTTTGATAGTGATAGAAGGTTTGCGTAGAATAAGAATATTTTAATTATTTCTTTCCTCAATTTCCGTTGCTCACTGGGGACTTAGAAATGATTAGCTTCGGATCCTAAATAATCATCATCCGCCCCTAATTTTCTACGCGAAATAATCAGCGTTTTATTGCTATCATTCTAATTGACAAAGCTTCACCAGTCTTCCACTATATATAGACAAAAAGCGTGATCCCATTACGAACAAGCTGTGAGGGGTCGAAGTCGTTTCTTTCAATCTTCGGTTATTCGCATCGAAAAATTAGTAAGCAATTTTTTAATCTTCTTTTCTTATTGTATATAATGCAAAGTTTATTAAAAATTAAATGTTATTATTATCTATTGTATCTACAAGGTAACAATTGAATTAAATTTTTAACTTCAATTATCGTCGTCTTTGACAATTTTTTATCGTTGACGTTATTATGTATTATTAACAATTATGTATTACTAATTCAGCTCAGATAATTAATTTGTGCAGCTAATTTCATACTATTACATATTCGTTCGTATCTAATTTAGATTCAATTTCTCGAAAATTGTGAAGTTACCAGAAAGTAATTTCACCACGATAACGCACAAAATATACCATGCGAATAACCGAAAGTGTAAATCGTTTCCGATGTTCACGTCCGCTTGATGCGAACTTTTCACTTCACGTCGGACGAAACTACTGGAACGAAAGTGATCGGAAACTTTGACATGGTGCGTCTTTACACATGAGGAATAAATTTCTATTATTTTTGGATTACACCTTTCATATCTGTTAATTAGAAAAAGTAGTTATTAGTCCAATTCAAAATAATTCGTCCTTCACTTTCACTCCACTTTATCACCCCTCCCACCGTTCTCACATAAATCTTCATGGTTTGAGAAACACTGATCCAACGATGGCCCCCACCGGCTAAACACCGTGATGTTAAACTCTTAATATTGCACAACATCGATAACACCTCGAGTTCCGAAAAGGATTTCGTTTTTTATCTCACAGCGATTATAGTATCAGTGAAATTTGCGTGCAGACCTTTTTTTCCACGTTTCATGATTTGTCTTCCGTTTACTACTTGTCGCCTGTCTGAAGTAAGGACTTAACCGGCGACGGTGACAGCAGCAAGTGATAACATCGGTGGTATGTTAATATGGTATAGCGATCATAAACTTTAGTTATGTTAATCATGAACGTACGTGCCTTCGTTATCGGCATATCGCTCTGCGGGACAAAGAACATTCTCCGATTTGATTGTATTTCTACTACAGCTATGTAACTTTAATATTTGTATATCGTAGGTATTCTAATTTCCAACGGAATATAAGAGATTATCATTATATTAAGCCATCTGCCTTTACATCGCACTACACTACGTACGAAAATTCTGTAACTTTCTTAAAAATTCTTTAGCTCTATGCTCTATCTAGATAATCTTATGTTACCGCTCAGAAAATAATTTGATGAACGGCATAAATTAACTTGGAAAAGTTGAAAGCTATGAAACCAGATTATCCTACGTGTCTTTTGCGTATCTGTTTTATCCTATTAACAGCACACTCAATTCGGAAAATGTCCCGAGTCTGAAATCGATTTAATAGAATCCCGTTCTGAATTCAATGTATATGTAATCAAGAACATTTTTGCCATTGCGGCGATTACAATGATATAATAATGACAATAAAATATATGGACAATGATAATGAATACATAACGCGGTCAGGTTTCGCCGTCGCCATTTATCGACAATATGTATACGTGTAAGTAATATACTCTAGTGTCATTACATTATGCTTAGCAGATATCTCGCTCGAAGATTTACCTAAAATCCACGTGGCAACAAATAACCAAGTTCCTTAATTACTTTCATTGTTCTGGCGGTTGAACCCTCATACAAAGTCAAAAAGAGAAGAAAGGAAACCTGATTTCTGGATGCTGCGAAAGAATAATCGTTGCCAGGCGTTCGCGTAAGATATTTATGTTACTTAATGTATAAATATTCTGGATTAATCAGGAAGTCTGTTGTTACTCCTCATTCTCATTTTACTCTTGCGCTACTACATCGAAAGTTAATAATTAATAACTATTGGTCTCTGGCCGTTTTCCAAACGTATCCAAAAAAAACTTATTATATTTACATTTTGGATAATCAATTAACCATTTCTTTAAAACGACGCGAATTGTGTAAAAGATATCGTAAAGGCTATCGGAAAAGTTTCGGATGTACTCAAAATTCGATTTAAAAAAATTTTAAAATTATAAATAATAATTAAAAATTATATTACTGTCTACCATAGTGTTTCACATAGTTTTAAAACAGAATTTATGTTTCTGGCACAGAAATACTCTTTTTTTTTTTTTTTTTTTTTTTTTT